TGTGTGTGTGTGTGTGTGTGTGTGTAGGTGTGTGTGTGTGTGTGTGTGTGTGTGTGTGTGTGTGTGTGTGTGTGTGTAAATGTATGTAAACCTCTTGTAACTTTTGAACGGCTTGACCGATTTGATTGCGGTTGGCGCCATTCGAAAGGGCTTGCCCAAACTTAGATTTCCTGAAAATTTGAACCGATTCCGACCGGTAGATTTCGAGAAAATGCAAAAAAAGTGAAAAAAAAGTTGTTTTTTTTTTTATTTTTTTTAAATATCTCCGAATTAGCTGAACCGATCGGTCTCAAAAACTAATCAGCTCTTAACCTTGAAAACCCCCATCGATCGCCACCAAAAACGTTAGAATCGGTTGATGCGTTCGTGAGATATCGTTGTCGAAAAAAATCGAAAAAAGTGTTTTTTTGTAATAACTTCGAAATTCATGGCTCGATCGATTTAAACTTGTAAATTTTTCATGGAGCTTCAAAAACTGCGTCGATTGCCGCCAACCGCGTGAAAATCGGTTCATTCATTCAAAAGTTATTGCCGTTTGAAAATTAAAAAAATTGTGTCTTTAAACTGCTATTAGAATTTTGAGCTCGAAGAGCTCAAATTGACACAAAAATAATATTTTTGAGCTCGAAGAGCTCAAAAACGTAATGTGCAGTTTGAAGCGTTTAAATACAAAATGAGCGGGAAGTTGCAGGGATGGCCTTTAGGGTGAACCGTTTTTCTAATTTTTTTTTTTCAAAAACTTAACGAGGGAATTAATTTTACTTTCAAGTACAGAAATAATTTTCTATCTCAAATATGCATTCAGAAAACAATTTTTTCATTTTAAACTATTTCTAAAAATTCTTTCTTTTTCAAAATTCAAAGAGCTTTTTCTCCAAAACTATCACAGAGATTTAAAAATTTTTTTCCTCTTGACTTACCTCACATCCTCTCTTAACTTTTGGTCCGAAAATTTCCTTCTTCCTTCCTCTAAATTTCTCAATAAACCCTCAAATAAAAAAAAAAACATTTACCATAAATTTTAGAAAATTCCCTTTTTGTTAAAATTCAAAGAGCTTTTTTTTAAAAACTATCGAAGATTTTCTAAAAAATTTTTCCTCCTAACTTATCTAGCTCCTTCTTCTAACTTTTCGCCTAAAAATTTCCCTTTTACCTCCTCTAAATTCCTTAATAAACTCTCAAATAGAAAAAAAAAATAAATTAATTAACCATGAATTTCTCAAAATTCTCTTTTTGTTACAATTCAAAGAGCTTTTTTTTAAAAACTATCAAAAATTTTATTCTCCTAACTTATCTCACACCTCCTTCTAACTTTTCGCCTAAAAATTTTCCTCTTACCTCCTCTAAATTCCTCAATAACCCCTCAAATAGAAAAAAAAAATAAATTAATTAACTATGAATTTCTCAAAATTCTCTTTTTGTTACAATTCAAAGAGTTTTTATTTAACAGCTATCAAAAATTTTCTCAAAATTTTTTTCTCTTAACTTATCTCACATCTTCTTCTAACTTTTCGCCTAAAATTTTTCCTCTTACTTCCTCTAAATTCCTCAATAAACCCTCAAATAGAAAAAAAAGAAATAAATTAACCATTTCTCAAAGTTCTCTTTTGTTACAATTCAAAGAGCTTTTTTTTAAAAACTATCAAAAATTTTCCAAAAATTTTTTTCTCCTAACTTATCTCACACCTTCTTCTAATTTTTCGCCTAAAAATTTCCCTTTTAGCTCCTCTAGATACTTCAATAAACCCTCAAACAAAAATCCAATAAACCAAATGTACCTTAATTTATAAAATTGACTTTAAAACTTTTCTCTAAAAAAACAAGAAAAACAATTATCGAACACCCTGACCTAATTTCTAGGGACAATGAAAGGTCACCCTTTGACCCATTTCCAAAAATTTCAAAATCACGCTGATTTTTTAAAATTTTTTGAGTAATATAGAAATTTTTAAAAAATTTTCTGATGATTCTAGAGATTTAATTTAAAAAAAAAAAAAAAAAACGAAAGAAATATCTAAATTAATCCTTCAAAGCTTAAAAGCGAAAGCTCACGCCTGCGCGGTCGCTCCCTTCCAGCAAGTGGAATATCTCCCTGGAAATTTCCCAGTACTGGGTGTCAGATACTGGAAAAAGGGCACCGCGCTCTGGCGTGAAACTCCGGAAGCTGTCCATTCATAGATCGACCCGCATATTATCTATGGACCTTGGACGGGCGTGTGAAAGTGCTCAAGCCCTAAAGCTTCCAGTTATTTTTTAACAAATGTTGAGGGTAGTTTGCTAAAAGCTTTCGTGACCTGTTAAGTTTCATTCATTCGTGACGTGAGTGAACAACTGTTAATTATTCTCGATTTTAAAGTTGATTTTTATAAAAATTAATTATTAATACTAAAATTTTAATAATAATAACAAATTAAGTGATTAAGTATAAGTAATCGAAAAAAATATCTTTATGCCAATTAATTATTGATTAGGATAAAAATAATCAATTGATAAGACAGATGATTATAAAATATGTGAAGTTATAATTTATTGATTATATTTATTTAAATATGTATTGAGATTCTGCGCTCGAAGAAAATCCACTGGATTGCCTTGGTCTTACCTATTGGTTTGGTTTTGATAAATAAATTGAGGAGTGAGTAAATGAAGTGATTAGGAGCTTCAAATTGGGGAGTATGGTTGTGGATTTTGATTGATTTGACAAAGTTTTTTATATAAAAAATCAAAAGTGTTCTTTCTGGGAAAAAACAGCCCGGCGAGCGAAGAAGCTCCGGGATTTGAGCAACAGGTTTATTGTTAATTTATATTTTTTAAATATTAGTAGTGATTTTTTTTTATATTTACTTTTAGTTGCAATGGTGAAAAAATTTTTTTTATTAAAATTTATAAAAGAAAACTTTTTTGATTTAAATTTATTGAAAGAAAATTTTCTTGATCGAAATTTAATAAATAATGAAATTTTTATCATTAAATTTTATAAAAAAAAAGTTATGATTGATTTGAGGGCCAAAAAATTTTATAGAAAAAAAATTTTTCTTAAATACATTTATTGAAAAAATGAATCTTATTATTAAAATTTATAAAAAAAAAATTATAATTATAATATTGAGGGTCAAAAAATTTTTTTAATTAAAATTTATTGGAAGAAAATTTTTTTTTAAGAAATTTAATTAATTTTTTTTAAATTGCAATTTATCGAAAATAAAAATTTTGCACAAAAATTCTCATTTAAAATTGATATTAAGTTTTATTTTTTACTATTTAATAATTTTAAATAAAAAAATGATTTGTTTTCAAAAAAAATTTTATTTCAAATTGTAAATATTTATTTTTGATCTAAAAAAATTATTGTTAACAAAATTGATATTTTTTGTGTAAAATTGTGAATGAATTAACATTTCTTAATCATGATTCAGGAATTTTTTATACTAAATTAATCTTTTAAAATGACGATTGAAATTTTTAAAAATCAAGAAAAATTTAATTAAATTTTTGATAAAAATTTAATATTCATTTTTAAATAATTTATTAAAATGACGATAATAAATCATTTTTAAGGTAGTAAATAAAAATTCAGGAAATAACTTTTGAGGGTAAAAAATATTGCCTTGAACTTAAATAGAATTTGATGTAAAAATAAAGTGATAGAGGGTAAAATAAAATAGAATAAAATAATCGATTACAATAATTATTATTATGATTTAGGAAAAGGGAAGCTCGATGCCAGAGGCGTCGGGGTCAGGGGTCGGGCTGGGAGTGATGGGAGTGGCTGACGAGCAGGATTACTCGACCTTCGAAAATAGAACGGGTCTCGCCGACGACATGAAGTTCCTGGCGAGCATGCCCGAGCTTTGCGACGTGACCTTTCTCGTGGGTGACACTAGGGAGCCGGTTTGCGCGGTGAAGGCCGTCCTCGCCGCTCGCAGCAGGTTATTATCATTTTCATTTCATTTAATTCCACTTTCTTCGATTGCTTTTCAGACTGCTTTTCCGACAGCGACTACTTAATAATTCTGTTCAATAACAGTCAACAAACTATTTTATTTTACATTTAATCGTTAAATATTTTTATTTTATACCTTAATAGAATAGAAAATTTGAAAAGGATAAAGTGCTTCAAATTATTCCGCAAAAATTTATTTATTTCAAAATTCAAAAAGCTTCTCTCAATAACTATGGCAGATTTTATAAAATTTTCTCTCCCCTAACTTATCTCACACCTTCTCGTAATTTTTCGCCCAAAAATTTCTCTTTCACCTTTTTTAGATTCCCCAATATGCACCCAGAAAACAATTTTTTCATTTTAAACTATTTTTAAAAATTCTCTCTTTTTCAAAACTCAGAGCTTTTTCTCCAAAACTATCACAGAGATTTAAAAATTTTTTTCCTCTTAACTTACCTCACATCCTCTCTTAACTTTTGGCCCGAAAATTTCACTCTTATCTCCTCTAAATTTATCAATAAACCCTCAAATAAATAAAAAAAAAAAAAAAAAAAAAAAAAACAAATTAACCATGAATTTCTTAAAATTCTCTTTTTGTTACAATTCAAAGAGCATTTTTTTAAAAACTATCAAAAATTTTCCAAAATTTTTTTCCCCCTAACTTATATCACACCCTCTCGTAACTTTTCGCCCAAAGATTTCCCTTTTACCTCTTTTAGTTTCCCCAATAAACCTATGTGACAATAAACCCGTAAATAGAATATCAAATTAACAATCTATTTCTTAGAAGTTCATTTTTATTTAAAGTTCAAAAAGCTTTTGCTCAGAGACTAAGAATGAAAATTAATATAAATTTACTTTTCCTCAACTTACTTCATACCCTCTTTTAACTTTTGGCTCGATAATTTCTCTCTCATCTCTTCTAAATTCCTCAACTAACCCTCAAACAAGAAAAAAATTACTCAACCATTAATCTTATAAAATTTCCTCTTTTAGAAAATTCAAACAACTTTTTCTCAAAGACCATCTAAGATATTCAAAAATTTCTTTTCCCTCTACTTACTTCATGCCCTTTCTTAACTTTTCGCCCAAATATTTTCTTCTCATCTCCTCTAAATTCCTCAATAAACCCTCAAATAAATAATTTATAATCAAACACCAATTTCTTAAAATTCCCTGTTTCAAAATTCAAAAAGCCCTTCCTGAAAAACTATTAAAGATATTCCAAAATTTTTTTCCCCTCAACTTACCTCACACCCTCTCTTAACTTTTTGCCCAAAATTTTCCTTCTTACCTCCGCTAAATGCCTCAATAAAACTCATTATTTACATTAAAATACAAGAATTCATAATACAATAAAACTTATTATATTTCTAATAACCGTCACAATTACTTACAGAGTCTTCCATAAAATGCTTTACCAAGCGCCGAGTCCGCAGCGTAAAAAAGAACCTCAGAAAGATAAGCTGAGATTTTTCCTCAAAAGAAGCTCCGAGCCGCTGCTAAATCTCCAGAACGCGGCTCAACAGGTAAATTAATTCTTTTAAAAATAAAAAAAAAAAAGATAAAATAACTTTTTATCCACTTTTAAATTAACTTCTTTCTACGATGAAATTTTCTCATAAAAAAATTTACTCAGCGGTCAGGTTACGTTCAGCAGTTGGCGCCCATAATAGAGGTACTTTATGTAACAAAGGCGTAGTAGAAAAACTGCATGCAATTGTCATTGAAATTAAAACCATAAATAAAACTTTTAATAAATTTAAATTTGACGCTAATAAATAAATTAATAAAATAAAAAACTTTCTTCAAGTAAATTAAAAACTCGCCATTCTATTGATGCTTTACCTTCTTTTAAACTACACGGAAAGAAAATTGAAAGAATTTTTACTATTTTACTATTGTAATTTTTATTAAATAAAATGGTAACGGTGGACTATACTTCTCATTTATTAATTTTTACGATCTAATATTGTAAATTTTATCCAACAAACAAGACTAGCAAGAGACTTAAAAAGTCGAATACTATAGAGCAAATTTTATAAGATGTGTTAGTAAACTTTACAATTCAACTATTGTAAAAATTCACAGTTGGTTTTTTTAAAAGAAATTTTAGGGAGGGAGAGAGATAGGAGGTTGGACTAATTGGTAGCTTTGCAGAAACCGAAAAAAGAATTCGGAATTTTCGTCCTATCCGGGAATCGAACCCAGAACTCTTAGCTGATAGCCAGAGACTCTCCTTCTACTATTGATGTCCTTCAGCATTTATATAAACTCGGAGTCTAGCGCTGTGCACGGTCATCACTCACACTAATTGAAAAACATTCCAATTCAACTATTGTAAAAACATTCCAATTCAACAGATTCGGTAGAATCTGGCGCCAAGTTCCGTTCTCAAGCCAGACTACCGAGTGTGTAGGTATATACCGTAAGCAGAACGGTTTTTTGAGGTTACAAATTTTTTGTCAAATTTAATTTGATTTTTTTTTTTT